AACAACAACAACAAGAGGAAAGAACCTCCTTCCTTTCTGTCTCTGATTCAGTGCTTTAACCGATTTCGGTTATACAAACTAGGGACTGAAGTTCTAACAATCTAACCACCACTTTCGGATTCTTGAACCCGAAGGTTCAGCACAGCTAATATCAGAACACGCCACTGGACTCAACGCTGAACCAGCTCTATCACCTTCCATTCTCACAATCTATTTCCCTAAAATCCACACCACAATCAGTATAAATCGATTTAAATTTTAGAAGGTCCAAGCACAGAGAAGACGGTAATATTGAAACGGGTGTAAGACAAAGCTAATAAAATAAGAAAAATATACCTCAAATCCCCTGTCCTCTTAAAAGTACGAACATCTGACTCGAGGCTCACACGAAGAGGACTGGATATTCAAGCGTCTTTTAGTTCGTTTAGTGGGGGGTGGAGTCCANTCAAACTGGGTCCGCTCGGCACGGCGGCCACTGATTGGCCTATTGTAGCCTGCTCCGGGTGATTATGATGATGAAGTTGGTGGAATGAAGATTGGCAGGGGAAACCGAAGTACTTCAGAGAAAACCTACCCCAGCGCCACTTTGTCCACCACAAATCCCACTCGACCAGACCCCGGGATCGAACCCTGGCTGCATCGATGGGAAGCCAGCGACTAACCGCTTGAGCTATGGTGCCGCAGAAGCATTTTAAAGCATTCATTGTACAGATTCGTTTGGCGTATGCTTTGCTCAGAAACCCTTTTCGTGCAGCAATGAGAAGGTACAGGACACGCACGTAACACAGAGTCTTGCAGGAAAGAGTTAAAAAGTTAAATGCGCAAGGTTTGGTGTGCTCACTGTGGGCGCTCCTTCTCATAACTCCCGCAATAGCAGCATTTAGCCCGATATCTTCTTTTCATATCACATGATGAAATGGGTTGGGGTGGTTTCGGGGGTGGTGGAGATGAAAAGCCGCGCTACCAAATGTCCTGTGCACGAATGGATGATGAACGGCGCTTCGTTTACTAGCCATTAAACCAAAGAGGCAGCGATCAGGCAGGCGACGCGATACGTGAAAGGGGGAAGTAGAATGTTTTGCTGAGGTCAACAGCTTCCTTCATCCTGTAGTTAGACCGTTGGACACGCACAAAGAAAATGTTAACTATGGTTCATAATTTTATAATCTGTGCAATATTTTGGTTCTTAACAAGAACTTTCGTTATGTCAGATTTTCTACTAAATTCATGTCTAAAGCAAAGCGTGTTACGTAATATTAGACAGTAGGTCAGTCATGCAGCGGAGCCCTTCTGGAGGAGTCGCCAATTCTGCAGCTACTCAAGAACTTCACAGCATTTTATGGAACCTGAAGGTCCATTTCCGTGTTCACAGGAGCTCTCTACTGGTCCCTATCCTGAGCCAGATCAATCCAATCCATCCCATCCTATCTCTCTAAAATCCATTTTAATATTGGCCACCCACCTATGGCTTGGTTTTCTCAGCGGTCTCTTTCCTTCCGGCTTTCCTACTAATATCCTATATGTATTCTTCTTCTCCATCATTCGTGCTACATGCCCTGCCCACCTCATCCTCCTTGACTTCATAATTCTAATTATACTTGGAGAAGAGTACAAGTTATGAAGCTCCTAATTACGCAGTTTTCGCCAACTTTCTGTCACTTCATCCCTCTTCGGTCCAAATATTCTCAACACCCTGTTCTCAAACACCCTCAGTGTATGTTCCTCCCTTAATTTCAGAGACCAAGTCCCACACACACATACAGAACCACAGGAAAAAGTACAGTTTTGTATACTCTAATTTTTATGTTTCAGAGAGCAGACGAGAAGTCAAAAGGTTCTGGACTGAATGGTAGCAAGCATTATCCGAATTCAATCTCCTTTTAATTTCCTTCTGAATCAAATTTTGATATGTTACTCTCGTTTTCAAGTATTTCAACTACGCCACATTTTCAAAGGACTTGTTAGCTGTCTTTGTATCATGATTTTGCCCTGCATTCTGGTGACGAGGCAGCAACATATACTTACTTTTCTCTGTATTTACTTCTAGACCAACCTCCATACTTACGTTGCTAAGTCTATTGATGTAATTCATACTATGTTTCAGAAAACTGGGCGTGATTTTAACATCGCGAACTTCCTGACGCGTTTGCAGTGCACTTGGTTGAAATCAAATCCTAATGAATGATATTTTCGAAAATCAAAGCGTTATTACGTATAAGTGGTTCTGTAATAAACGTTTTGACAGGGAACTGTCTTGAAAAGTGGCAACTTGGGAGAGCAATTTCATGAGAGAAACAAAATTAAGGATTTTAGGAAGACAGATTATGAAGGTAAAATGGATAGTGTCCAGTTCTGCTGAACTATCAGGTTCCGCTACAGGGAGACAGGTCATTACTGCTCTTACGCAACGTGTATTGGCCACACTGTCCCTGATAGATTTTGTTCAAAATGTATTACTTAAAATTTAACTTACGTTGTGACCCTTATGTGCTGGGTCAGAGAGAAAACTCACAACTTAAGAACGAATGATGAAATAACGTGTAGGAAACATCAACGATCCATGACATGTGAGTACGGGGCAATTGCGGAATTATGATTAGCAAGGGGAAACCAAACACGCTTGGAAGAAATCCTTGCTACAGTGACACATCTTCCTACTCGAATATCACATGCAGTCATATGAGATTGAATCCGACGCTCCGAGGTGCGAAGCCGGCGTCTGTCTGAACGACGGCAAGGCCCATGCTATTTATTTATTTATTTATCTATCTATCTATCTATCTATCTATCCATTCATCTATCACTTTCTTAATCCTATACACCGGCGGCAGGACTCCTTGAACGGGGGGTCATCCTGTAGCGAGGCCGCCTTCTACACACAGAATAAACGCACACGGACATCAATGCCTCCAATGGGATTCGAACCCACGATCCCAGTGTTCGAGAGGACGAAGACGGTTCATACCTTAGACCGCGCGGCCACTGTGTTCGGCTCTTCGATATGCTTTCCAATTCGTTATTCAACAATAAACCTACCACTCAATGCCATACAGTCACCAACTGCTCCACAATCACCCTCACCTATCATCTGGGGCTGGTACAAGAGGCCAGAAGTGGCCGCATTACAAGGGACTTAGTCCCACCACACTAGCAATGCACTACCAGCGTTATCAGATATGCTACAATGAAATGAGGTAGTCAAGACTAAACATGGGAAGCTGCAGGGGTGGGGGAGTCACGAAGTTAGCACTGAGAAGGTGATACAGTCGGTGTGTGCTAGACACCTTGGTGAAGACGGGGGGAACATTAACTCTTTCGGTGCTAAGTTCAATTTAGCAGACGTAACCCCCTTCTTCTTCTTCTTCTTCTTCGTCTTCTTCTTCTTTATTTTTTCTGTATTTAAGCATCCTGCTGTAACGTCTGTGTATAACACAGTCCGTCAATAATGCAACAAAATGTTTCATTTCCTTCCACTCACATTTTTAACGCAACATATTTCGGCCTTAGATGGCCATCTTCAGGTGTCTTAATATATTAAAAATGGTACATTGCATTAAAATGAGCTAAATCACAGGCTGTAGTCAATTTAATATAATAAAATTCATTAAAATTTTCAATATTTTTGTGAAATTCCATTCCACATCACAAGAGATGTCGTCCACTTGTTTAGAGCTATATGTTATCTTCTTCTTCTGCTTTTGTTTTCAAATTACTCCTAGCCCTTGAGTTTAATTTGGAAACAATCACATACCTCCATTCTTAAAAAGGTAAATATTGCCAGTTGCGATGAGCACTATCACGAGATTCCAGAAGATTATGTTTTTATTTTTCTTATAGAATGACAAGAAAAAAAAAGCAAAGGTATCCCTGTAACAGGCCGTGAAGGCCCATAGGGTTGTGAGAAATCAAGCTCCCACATTTTCTCTAGTAAATCGGCTCACAGATTGCGGTAAGGCTCTCAGCCCTACGCGCCGGCCGTCCTTTACCCACAAGAATATTCCAAGAATATTCCTGGTACTCATTGCTGTTAGTGGCTGAGTCGACCCCAGGGCCATACTGCGGATGGAAGGATTAGGCAAATTTAAAATAATTTAATGACCTCATCGGGACTTGAACCCGCGACCTTCCGGCTTGTAGCATAGTTCCTCAACCAACTACGCTACCGCGTGCCAAGGTAAAGGTAAGGTTGTCCCTGTGCTTAACTAATTAAGCACTACGCCATGAAAGCGTAAGGGGGAGTGGATATATAGATCCATATTTTCTTGACATCGGGACTAGCTGGAGGTGAGTGGTCAGTTTCACGCCCCGGCCGCTTTACCCCAGGGGAAAGAGCCCCCGGTATCCATTCGATAGGAGGCTGGGTGGGCCCCTGAGTCGGTCTGGACGTGGAGAAATTTCTTGCCTGTCCGTAGCCAGTCGCTATACCGACAAAGCTATCCCGGCTCCGTACAGAATGAGAAACTCCGTGGCCTGTAGTCCGTAAGCGACTTATACCGACCGAGCGACCGCCGCTTGTCGGCGAAGTTAGTACAAACCGTTGCGGATAGAGGGTATCACGTGGTCAGCGCAACGGTTCCTCACGGCCGTTAATCTCGGTTTTCTAGACCGGAGCCGCTATTCCGTTGAAATAGCTCCTCAATTATCCTCACGAAGCTGAGTGGACCACGTTCCAGACCCACTAATTCTCAGACAATTTGGTAGCGCAGGGACTCGAACCCGGGGCCCCTGGATCTGTAGCCAGGACCTGTGACCACTAGACCACAGAGGCGGTCGTACAGAATGACAAACATGTTTAAAATGTGGCTCAGTTGAACTTACTTGAGAATGAAACTAAAAAACGAAACTACATAAAAGAATAAACTATAGACTTCCTACAATTCACCGCACAATATCCTGTGTTCCCATCTCCAATTTAAACATGTTCAGGCTAAACATACAAATATCTATAATTCTGGCCGTTGCTTTGTATGTTTATAAAACTTGGCATCTCATCCTAAGGGACGAACAGACTGGGGTGGCTGAGAACGTGATTAGGACAGTATGTGGATCGAAGAGGGAAGAAGAAACAGGAAGCTGCAAAGAATTTCAAACTATGAACCTTCATGACTTGTAACCTTTGTCAAATAAAAATTAAGATGTAAGATTTGAGGTTTTCACGGCGGTGACTATGAAGAAAGCAGTCCTCTGGAATGTGGCACCGTGTAGATGTGGTGTTAACCGACGTTTCGGAGGAACGTATCGCCTCTATCTTCAGGGTAGAAAGAAAAATAAGAAAATCTGCAAGCGAAGAGACAGTGAGAACAGGTGCAAGCAGACTGCGTGCATGCTGCTAGTCTTCTAAGTTTTACAACATTAGGAATCTAAGCACAGGAACAACTTTACCGTGTCTTACTGATATCCTATGGGTCCATGGAAGACTGCTCCTTTCCGCCCTGCTGACTTTATCCTTGAAATGGGTAATTTTCTACAGGCAAGAGTTCCCTATGTTACGAAATGAGGTGTCTGTCTTTCAACACCCAGAAAGAGTTCTGAATTAGCACATATTTCTTAACAACTGTGGTCTAGTGGTCAGAGTTCCTGGCTACAGATCCAGAGGCCTGAGAAGTAGTGGGTCTGGAACGGGGTCCACTCAGCCTCGTGAGGATAACTGAGGAGCTAAATAGCGGTTCCGGTATAGAAAACCGAGATTAACGGCCGTGGGTATCCGTTGCGGTGACCACACAACGCCCTCTATCCACTAAAGTTGGCACTAACTTCGCCGACAAGCTGCGGTCGCTCGGTCGGTAAGTTCGCTTGCGGACTAAAGCCACGGAGTTCCTAACAACGACGCGATGGTCTCATATAAGCACCAGAGAACTTCGAAAGCATTCAGGATACTAGAAGCTTTTCCGATTCGCATAAATAGCCGAAAGTAAGTTTCTGAAGATGCTCATTTGATGAAACATTTTGGAACATGGGAACATCAATTTATTTCCGTCTAGGACTATAATATTTTTGCTCAAGATACTGAAGATCCTGGCGAAGTACGTACCTTTGGAAAGCCTCCAGAGTTCTTTGGAAGAGAAGACTCCCGTGGCTAATATAGTATCATTGCATATGACGCCGTTGTACGGGTTGTGAGTGTACCCTGCAATGCACAACAGAGACGAACCTGAAGACTCAACAACAGAAACTGACAAATCCAGAGTTCCAAAGTAACAACGTTGTAAGTGAGGTTACAGTGTCTTTCGACAAACAACTTTACTGACATACACAGGGATTAAGTTAACCGTCAACACAACAAATATACTCGCTTTTAAACTTATACAATTCGACTTTTTATTGCTGCTACGTGTTTTGATTCAAGTTGGTGNATTCTCTTCCCACTATGTCTCTATTTCATTGCTTTTTTTTTTAATGCTAGTGGGGTGGGACTAAGTCCCTTGTACTGCGGCCACTTCTGGCCTATTATAACAGCCCCAGATGATAGGTGAGGGTGACTGTGGAGCAATTGGTGTAATGAAGATTGGTAGGGGAAACCGAAGTACTCGGAGAAAACCTGCCCCAACGCCACTTTCTCCACCACAAATCCCACTTGACCAGACCCGGGATCGAACCCCGGCCGCCGCGGTGGGAAGCCAGCGACTAACCGCTTGAGCTATGGTGCGGCCCAAGATAAAATATAAATATACATATACATCATATATCAAGATTTATAAAGTGTCGAATACATTATGGAAATATTAAAACGTTTTTAAAATACTTAAAGAATATATTTAAACAATTTTAGTATGGGAGGTTAAGAAATGTGTATGCCAACTTAATAGCAAGGTTGGAGGGCTACAGTGTAGAAATTGGGCATGTTATGTCGTTTGTAGGTCTTTGTTAAAGGAACTTTCTACGTAGTAAGCCCAGTCGTGGAGCCCAGGGACAAGTTACTGACGTAACACTGTGCTCATTTGATGAATGCAACGCAGTTACACATACTAATGATTAACTTATATAAAGAAAACACAGACTTCGTCTACTGAATGGTCTGTTAGGGCACTGGTGACTTTATAATGTTTTTCGAATTGCATCTTTCCACTATTCTCTGTCATAATAAGGAGCAAATCTGTTGTCTAGTCAAGTACACACCTCCCTTGTTCCCCCACCCATAATTCTGGTATCATATAAATGGCCCAATTTGATGACTAACCCATAAGATCTGCTACCTCTTCTTATCTCTGTGTGTCCTAAGACTGAAGAGGTAAAACCAGTATGGGTGTAAAGGGTGAGAAACCGATATATCCTTGACAAGACAACTCACTTGCTTCATAATATGATAAACCATTTTTTTTATTCCTAGTGGGGTGGGAATAAGTCCCTTGTACTGCGGCCACTTCTGGCCTATTGTACCAGCCCCAGATGATAGGTGAGGGTGAATGTGGAGCAATTAGTGGAATGAAGATTGGCAGGGGAAACCGAAGTACTCGGAGAAAACCTGCACCAGCGCCACTTTCTCCACCACAAACCCCCCTTGACCAGACCCGGGATCGAACCCGGGCCGCCGTGGTGGGAAGCCAGCGACTAACCACTTGAGCTATGGCGCGGCCGTAATGACAAACCATACAATGGATAGAATTCAGCCATTCTACAATTCGTTCTCTATTTTACATAACTGAAAATCAAACAAAAGCGCCGTGTTTATAATATCCACTACGTAAACTGTACATTATCACATTACATTAGAATCAGAATGTAATTTCTTAAACTTCAAAGTACAGAAGAAATGTAGATTGTGGCTTTCGAAATTCTATAACATTTTATGTTCCTAGGTACTTGATCCATGCGGACCGAACCACGAATTAAGCACTGGTGTTGGGGTGTACATATACTGAATTAAAATGAAAGCTCATCACTTACAACGTTGTTACCTTGTTGGTGTAGTCGATCAAGTTCTTAAAACCAAGACGGGTGTGGTACCAAAGCTCTAAACCAGGCACCAATAACGTAAAGGCCTAACACCATAACGTTTCATGTGAACTGACTGAGGAAGGAAAGGACACAAAATAATACAAGGATACACACAAGTGACGCGCATCCGTTATGGAATATTATACAGAGTGTCCGGATGAAAGGTATCCAAAATAAAATCATTATATCTCAGAAAGAATTTATTATACACATTAATGGCTTACACCATTACAAACGGAAAATACCAAAGTTTTTTTTCTGTTTATATAACTTTCTCAATAAATTTAAATGTGGGCTCCCTTGGTGGCACGGCAAATATCCAGGCTTGAAGCGTGTTTGGTGTTACCGTAGCCACAGCGTCCCTTATGCGGGCTTTCAGTTGTTGCAGCTCGTTGATCTTAAACCGGTAGACAGTGTTCTTCACGTAACTCCACAAGAAGAAATTCAGTGGGGTTAAATCTGGCGACCTAGGAGGCCAAGCGATTGGTCCATCTCTGTCAATTCATATCCCAGCCATCTCTCTGTCCAGGTGATTCCTAACATGGTGGCAGAAATGTGACGCCGCTTGCGCGTATGCAGGGCATGAAAAAAAAAACTTTCAGAGTTTTCCATCCGATGACATACGTGTATGACAATTGGTTTCCGAGATATACATTTTTTATTTTGGATACCTTTCATCCGGACACCCTATATTTCTAATTAGAAGAAGGTGGTGTACCTTTCGTTATTATTCCTCTGTGCTCATCAGGCGTAATTGAATATCATTATAAATGCATCACACTACCATTATTAACAAATTTACCTTACCTGGTGAGACATGTTGTTACTATTTGCATTTGAAAGTTGACTCAGATATTAAAATAACACAGGCAGATATGCATGAAGTTATACCTTACATGTTGTACCTAAGGTCAGCCAGTTTTCACAACATACTGGGAACAAATATATTAACGTGAGCAGGGAAGGAGAAGGGGGGGGGGCTGAGTTGCAAGGTTCTGGGGCCTCAAATTGGCCTCCTGCTCAGGGTATTGAGGGTGAAGATGGGTGTGGAACACTGATGAAATGATTACTGGCAGATAAACACAAAACTATTCATTTTATCCGTGGACACAAGAACTCCCGCTTTTAGAGAAGCCGAAAACCGTTCAAATATTATGTTGTGGATATTATCCATCGTCTTGTCTATCAAAAAACCGTCCTGTTTATTTTTTTTTTATTTCCCTATCCGGAAATAGGGACGAGCTCTATCGACTGGGCCCAACTGAGTAGGTTTCGCCTGAGTACGGAGACAGAATCCAGTCTCTGAAACGTTGTGTTTTGAAAAATAAACAGGACGGTTTTTAGATAAAAACAGGACGATGGATGATGTCCAAAAACATAATATTCGTACTAATGTGCCATCATCACAAACTTTTAGATCTTATTAGCGGAAAACAGTGTTCATAAGAGCCGCTATTGGTTCCACTGTAGCCCATGTCCTTCTTTAAGATCCATTTTAATCTGGTCTTCCCACGAGCGTTTAGATATAAGTAGGTTTCTTCCATTCGTACGAAATTTGAAGTTCACATGACCGTGAATGTCACAATGTTTGCCAAGTGCCGTAGTGTACTTTGGTACACGGATACCATGTCGCAAGATCCTACTGCATCCAACTTCAGTGTAGACGGTACTCCTCTGCCCTGAAAATGGATGTAGCAGCATCATCCGAAATGCTGGTACCCGTCTACCAAACTACACGGCATCAGAAGACATGTAATCTCTCCTTCATGTTTTCCGAATTAGATGTATTACGCTGCTACCTCCTTCACGCCCCCCTCACGTACGAGCTACAAGTCTGCCCAGTTCGACTACATCACCAAACGACGTAAAACCTTTTGAAGTAATGGAGACAACCAAGGACGTCAGAAGGTCAGCAGCGGTTTCATCGCTTCTCTCCCCTCCTCCTGAAACAGCAACCAGTACCCGCTACATTTCCATTTGACGCATTTTCTGACGTTGAGGTTGGTCAGGCTCTCTCAAGCGATTTGCTTCACTCATCAGGTCTGCATCGTGACAGGACCTCCCCCCCCACCCCGCGAAACACGCGTGTTTCACTTATACATGTTTCAGAAGCAAAGGGGACGTAGTCTGGACCGCCTCTGTGGTCCAGTGGTCAGAGTTCCTGGCTACAGTTCCAAAGTTCCGGGTTCGATTCCCGGCGCTACAAGATTGTCTGAGAAGTAGTGGGTCTGGAACGGGGTCCACTCAGCCTCATGATGATAATTGAGGAGCTGTTTCAAGGAAATAGCGGCCCCGGTCTAGAAAACCGAGATTAACGGCCTGGGGAATCCGTTGCGCTGACCATGCGATACCCTCTATCCGCTACAGTTGGTACTAACTTCGCCGACAAGCTGCGGTCGCTCGGTCGGTACAGTTCGCGTGCGGGCTAAAACCACGGAGTTTGTTTGTTTCTGTTTGTCTGGAAAAGATATTTACCAAGGACGACCCACTAAGACAGACCTTACATGACAAGTCATTAAAATATACCGAACGTAATGAGCTGGTTTGTGTTGCGGTAACGATCTAGATTTGTAGTCAGGAGCTACTCGGTTCGAATGTACAGTTATCCTCAAGCTTTTCGTCGGTTTCCTCATCCTTTCCAAGCAAACCCCGTGTTCATACCTCGGTTCCGTCCAAATAATTTTGAATTCAATGGTGATCATTAATCGTATCATTCAACAAAATATAGTTTAGGCATTAATAGCGTCGCAAAGCAAAACACAAAATCAAAATCCGAATGTCTCGACGGAGTATTAAACACTCCTGCTTCAAATCTGGAGTTCCCAGGTTTAAATCCTGGTCCGGAGACCAGCTATTATGAGGTATTTCGAGGTGCTTCTCAGTTAATACAGACTAATGCTAGGATATTGGCCGCGCCATTGCTCAAGCGGTTAGTCGCTGGCTTCCCATCGCGGCGGCCCGGGTTCGATCCCGGGTCTGGTAAAGTGGGATTTCTGGTGGATAAAGTGGCGCTGGGCAAGGTTTTCTCCTAGTACTTCGGTTTCCCCTGCCAATCTTCATTCCACCAATTGCTCCACAATCACCCTCACTTGTCATCTTGGGCTGGTACAGTAGGCCAGAAGTGGCCGCAGTACAAGGGACTCAGTCCCACCTCAAGGTCGCGCCATAGCTCAAGCGGTTAGTCGTTGGCTT